AGAAAGAAAGAAAGAAAGAAAGAAAGAAAGAAAGAAAGAAAGAAAAAGAAAGAAAGAAAGAAAGAGAAAGAAAAAGAAAGAAAAAGAAAGAAAGAAAGAAAGAAAGAAAGAAAGAAAGAAAGAAAGAAAGAAAGAAAGAAAGAAAGAAAGAAAAAGAAAGAAAGAAAGAAAGAAAGAGAAAGAAAAAGAAAGAAAAAGAAAGAAAGAAAGAAAGAAAGAAAGAAAAGAAAAGAAAAAGAGTGAATCTTGAAGGCCCACACCCGAACTGAAAATTCTCAGTTCAGAGGGGACAAGAATACATTTGACATATGGGGTAATGTGAACGAGATAAATATACAAAACATACTGACCCGCGGGGATTCCCAGAACCAACCGGACGCCTGCACTGAGCTGGGAGAGAGTGGTGGTGATTAGGTAGTAGTGATGACCACATCTACCAGGTCCCATCCTTCACAGACATGAGCACACTGAATCCTCACAACCACCCTTGTGATGGGTTATTTTATCCCATAACATCGAAAAGGGCTCATTTTAAGTATGAGAAAACATGTTCAGCAAGTTTGTCCTGGGTCAGAGCACAAGACAGGGATTGTAATATTGGTGACTTTTTGAAAGTACCATCTTGGCTCAAATCTCTAAGGGAACGAGGGAACCAGGGTAGGCCAGGGCAGGGAAGGAGCTACACACAGCTGTGGGCTCCACTGAATGCTGGCCTCAGCTGCGTCCCACGGAAATGGCCGGGGCAGTGAATGGCACCGTGCTGTTAGCTGTGCCCCCCGACGTAAGGGGGCGGGCATTTGCACGCCAGTATCCGTTATTCCTTAGCTGTGCACCGCCCTCATCAGGAGAACACATCCCTTCGGGCACGCTCCAGAAAGGCAGGCAGTTCCCTCTGTGGAGGACAACTATGAGGAGGGCACAGCCATGTGCTGTTAGCAGCCGCTGGAAAGGGGGTGCATCAGCCTGGCAAAGGGGACCCGGGGGCAGGCAGGAACCAATAGCTCCTTCCACGGGATTCATGGACCAACACCGATGCAATTGCCAAGTGGCCAAGCCAGGAGGCACACCCTGATCTGCTTGAGCTCTTATCTCTACAAAGGCATAGATTCGCCTATTTATCCTACTCTTCGAAGTTTTACACAATTAGTATTTTTTTTTCAGGGCCAGCTTTGGGCCAGACACCATCCTCAGAGCTGGAAAGGGAAGGGGACCGGCCAAGAGGGAAACGTGGCTTGCACTTTTGAAGCCATTAACCTGTGAGCTGCCGTGGAGGCCTAGGCCATCCGGCCGGCGCACTGAGACATTCATGCTTGTGTTGGCTTTTTCTCCTAAAGGCTGATGAGATGCAGGATGTGATGCATTTCAACTACATGGCGTGGCCTGATCACGGGGTGCCCACGGCAAATGCTGCAGAGAGCATCCTGCAGTTTGTACACGTGGTTCGACAGCAAGCTCCCAAAAGCAAAGGCCCCATGATCGTGCACTGCAGGTAACCGCATCAGCCGTATCTTCTGTTAGGGTCCCACAGGCTCTGCTTTATCAAGCAAAGAGCCCACCGTTCCATATACCCAGTCACACTGAATTTGCCATTATGTAAACCATGACTTTTTTAAAATTTACAATTGATATCTTACCTGATACATGATTTACTTATATTATGGCTTTTCTTATCTCCCATAGCCTATGAGATAGATGTTATTATTCTTATTTTCAGAAGAAAAACAAACTGAGAAGAGGGGAGATAAAGGGATTCACACAAATTCAGGCAGCTAGCATGAGGAGGGATTAAGGCTCAAATCCGTGCCTTTAGGTGCTGTGGGATAGTACCCCAGCCTCTCGGTGATTCTGAGTGGCTTATAACATGGCCAAATACAAAGTCAGATTAAAAATAGCTAATCACAGCGCTGAATAATATAAATATTATTGACCGCCTGCAAATGGCTGTAGCTGCAGAGCTAGAACTAGTGTGTGGCCTCTCAAGCAGACTTTCCAGCAGGGAATGTGCACCGAACTCCGAGGCTACACAGAAAACTGGAATTGTTTTCTGTGTATCCGCTCTCTGAGAGCAGGAAGCGACTCTCCAGCCAGCTCCCTCTGGAATCCTTACCTTCCTCAGGAGGCAGGGTGCCCTGTGGTGGGACCGGGGTGGGGCTAAGCCTGTGCAGCCACACACCTCTTTGAGGGAGGCAGCAGGGTGAGTCAGAAATGTGACAATGAAAGACAGTCGGTTAAGCGTCTGTCTTCAGCTCAGGTCATGATCCTGGAGTCGCGGGATCGAGCCCCGCATCGGGCTCCCTTCTCCCTCTGCCTCTGGTCCTCCCCACTTGTGTTCTCTCTCTCAAATAAATAAATAAATAAATAAAATCTTTAAAAAAGAAAAAAAAATACCAACCACAATCACGTACTTCAAAATCAGGAAAATATTGTCAGGAGTATTTCTTCTTTTATTCTGAGTGCTGCTACCTGTAGTTTGGGGGGTTTTCTAGTGGCCGATGTGTTTGCAACCGTGTAAAAGGACTGTCTGAGGAATATGCTGTCCGAACACTCTTTTGCAGTGCCGGAGTTGGCCGGACGGGAACATTCATTGCCCTGGACAGGCTCTCGCAGCACATTCGGGATCATGAGTTTGTCGACATCTTAGGGCTGGTGTCCGAAATGCGATCCTACCGGATGTCTATGGTGCAGACAGAGGTAGGAACAGAATCAAAATCTATTTTCAAATATGCCCTGGACTGAAAAACTTCCCATGATTCAGTCTGTTTCAAAACAGTTGTCTCAATTTTTATTTTTCTGTCTCTGCTCTTCCCCGTTTCTCAGTGTGCATGTTCAAACTGCTTCAAGGTATTAAAAAAAAAAATAGATCTTAGCCTCTAGAAATCCATTGTTTTGGATTTGGATCCAGTGTATAGCGTTTGCACTGTGGTTGGTATCACATGTCCTTTAGTAATCCAGAACATATGGATGTATCTATACTATCTATAATAGAATAAAACTTCTTTGAACAGACTGAGTGTTCGGTGAAGGTGACAGCCATTCTGGGTAAATGCCACCAAGTGGAGACTGTGGAACTGATGTGATTTAATTTATATTTGAAATGCTAGATTTGATTCAGTAAGTTTGGCCTTAGTTCGTCCTCCATGTGACTCTCTGTCCCAGTGCATTTTGGATGATGATCAGGGGTTGGATTTATGCTTTCTGTCCCTCTTATAATTTTAAGGATTTCCAGCTCCCATCCAAGCAGTGCTGCCAGTGCCCTTGATCTTAAAGGAATGGAATTATCATTGTAACAACATGGGAGCATCCCCAGAAATATCCACCAGTGTTATGCGCTCCCTCTTCGTCCTCTCCCACCTAGTCCTCTCCTGCCTGGAAGCCTCAGAATGCACTCCAGCCGGCGTGGTTAGCCCTGGGCTGCTTGCTGCCCACACACAGCATCACACCGCCTCCCAGCAGCAGCGGGTGGGCCCCTGGGTGCGCCCCGAAACCTACGCACAATAGCTGGTTCATAATCTTCGTCACCATGCCCTACTGTGACTTCTCAGCTTCGAGCGTACAGTAATCCTTTTTTGCTCAAGGAGTGTGTGTGGGAGGAACGCTTGGAGAGTAGAAGACAACCTGGCCTGACCTCTTACTCAATTTCCAGATGAAATGCTGCCTTCGTCTTCCCCATGCTTTTCCTACTAAGCATCACTAGGTGTCAGTATAACTCAAAGAGCCTGCAGTAATGGCTGCTTTCTGCGCTTCCGGTTTCTCCTCCCCCACTCTCTTTACTTTTCTCTCCGGCTTCCCCACTCCCCTCTGACCAAGGCTCCACATAGCCAGCCCAAGGGATTTATTTCTGCGCTCCAGCAAGATCATACCACTTTGGAAAGAGTGACCCATTCACATGCAGGTGTCTCACTGATGATGTGTTTGCTCACTTCCTGGAGCCCACTCACATCCCAGCCCTACTGCCTTGGAATTCACAGCGGTGGGGACGTTAACATGACCTCATTAGCGTAAGCTCAAAATGTTCTGCTTTCCCAGAGAAGCCCACTACCTAGTGATTAAACAGTGCTTTATGAATCGGTCCATATTTTTGGTTTTCACCGCTGTAAACTGACATCCTAATATGTGGTTAGAACTCCCCAGTATGTCTATTAATCCCCAGCCTTCAAAGGGCCACTCCTTATTTTAAGTATGTTGGATGTGATGAATTGTCTGCCCCACTGACTTAATTTATGCCTCTTATAACTTTATAGACTTTGATTATAGCCTAGTTGCCTTTGACTTTCCCAATTACAGAATCCTAATGCCTTTTTTAAAAAAAACTACCTACACGGGGCGCCTGGGTGGCTCAGTCCGTTGAGCATCTGCCTTCGGCTCAGGCCCTGGTCCCAGGGTCCTGGGATCGAGTCCTGCATGGGGTTCCTTGCTCAGCGGGGAGCCTGCTTCTTCCTCTCCCACTCCCCCTACTTGTGCTCTCTCTCTGTCAGATGGATGAATCCAATCTTAAAAAAAAAAAAAAAACTACCTGCACATGGCAGACCCTCTGTCCAATTTTCAACACCATTATCTCTCCTCAAGTGTGGTAATCACGCCAAAGTACAGAAGCCACCGTGTGCCTCTCAGAAGACTGAGGAAGTGTTTTGTGTTCTCCCTAACTTTCTGGTCCCAAATTTTGGTTGTTTGGCTTCTTTGTTTATGGCAGCATTTTTAAGTTGCCGTCTCCAGGGAAACAGTCTTTTTAAAGTACAATATCCCTTCCCTGAACTCTGGTGGGAAAACTCAAAAGTCAGCAAAAGAGGCGGAGGTCACCACAGGTTACTGATTATTTTCCAACTGTTTCAGCTTCACTCTTGAGTTCCCTCGGGATTCTGCAGTGCAGGCTCTCTAGCTCGAGTTATTTATTTATGTCTGTTTTGTTAGTTATGTCTGGAACATCTTGTCCGTTTACCTTTGTATTTTCCTGGTTCCTGTGCTCTTCATGGTTCAACCTGGATTCTGAATGTTAGGGTTTTCCTAACATCCTCCTCGAGCCCAATCATAATACCCCAGTCCTGCTGCCTTTGACCTTACTGATGTTAACAAGTAAGGAGCGGAATAAACAAATTATTTTCCTCAGCTTTTTCATCCCACAGTACCCCTTTGACACTAATGATTTTCCAAGAGGCCAGAGTGATTCTCCAGCTGATTTCCGATTCTCTATATAAACCACCTGTGTGCTGTGGACCAGGTTCCCTCCCATGGCTGGTTTTCTAATTTTTTCTAATTTTCCTACCTCCTCGATTCTACCGCCCGTCATCTCAATTCTACCACCCTGCCCCACTCTAGAAATAGCAGGACTAACTGATTAAAACAGCCTGTCCAGAGACGCACATTTCAGGTCACAGCAACGCACTGCATGGGCTGCATTTTGACATGTTCTCTTCCCTTTTCTCAACTGACCGGCACATGGTATGAGCCTCTCCACAGGAGCAGCAAGGGGTAGTTAGAGAGTTCAGGTCCGCAGGCCAGACGCTGTGAGTCGGCCTGGGTCACGTATGGCCTCTGTACACCTAGACAAGCACTTTGAAACCATAAAGCGCTCTATATGGGTGGCATTCACCTCTTTTGAGCTCTCTCTTCTATTTCTATCAAAAGTTTTGTTTAGTTTTCCTCTAATAGGCTTTCCCTGGAGGTCAGTTAGTGCTTTGCTTTGAGCAGCCCTCATCCTGATCAGCAGCTTAGACTTCTCAGGGGCTCTCAAGGATATGTCTGTAAATAGTCTCTCATTTACTTTTCCTGTGGTTCAGCTACTTTTTTTTCTTTGTGACACAAAGTTTGGTCACCGAGTAATTTTTAATTGAAAAACAAGGCACTCTCTGGCCTGAACCGTGCTCAGTGCTCGATAACACCAGAAACAATGGAGTGATGTGTGATCATGAGAAGAGGTAGTCAGTTGTGGATGTGATACTATCACAAAGTAAGGGAATATATTTTCTTCAAAGCTTGAAAAATACAGATTAGGCTGAGGTATCAACCTTTAAGTATTAACCTAACCTTTATAAAGTCGTCATACAAAAGACCCCTTAAATCCTTTGACTGTCATGACTGGATTTTATGTCAAGGTTATTTCTAATGGTATTACTTACAGAGAAGCTCTAGGAAATAAAGAAAAAAGGTGAAAGATCATGAAGTTACTTGATTTCATGGCACCAAGACAGCTTCCTCAATATGCTGATGGATTTCATCTCCATCTTCGTTCAAGTATAACTTTACATGCTATATGTACATATACTAACTTTACACTGTAATTTTCCACTTAACATTTTGCTATACATATCATCCCGAATTGTCCAAAACTCTATAAATCTCATTTTAAAGACACTAATATTTCAGTACAGATCTGCTGTGTCTTATTTAAACCATTCTCCTTTCTACAGAACATTAAATTGGGTCCTTTTCCACTGGTTTACTATCTGTGTCCACAAGGCCATTTACTAGCACCTAAGTAATAATACCTCCACCAACAATAGATAAAAATGACAGCTTCTACAAACTCAGGTCATCATCGAGCATTACCATTTTCCTTTAGCTTTGCTCATATCACGGATGAAACAAAATTGTTTCAACTTACATTTTTTATTATGTCACCATCTTTTGCATATGTTTTAATATTTCCTCAGTTTACTTCAGAAAACCTTTCATAAGCCCAAACTGAGTCCTAGGCATGAGGAAAAAAAAGATATAGTCCCTGCCTTCCAGGAACATTTGGTTTAATTGCCGATATATTTTATTGGCCAATTTAAGTGTGTGTGCTAATGACTGCAGGAATTTTAAACAAAAATAAAGGTATCGAGATGCGTTCGTTAGGTTACTCCTCCCTGCCCGTGGATGCCCACTGAGTAAGCGTCATTAAAGTCTCCCTTCCCACCACCATTATATCTAAGTCAGTCTCCCAAGAGCCTGAACAGCAGCAGAAGCTCTTCATCGGAGGTTTGAGCTTTGAAACAACTGGTGAGAGTCTGAGGAGCTATTTTGAGCAATGAGAAATGAGCTCACAGGCTGTGTGGTCATGAGAGATCCAAACACCAAGCGCTCCAGAGGCTCTGGGTTTGTCACGTATGCCCCTGTGGAGGAGTGGATGCAGCCATGAATGCAAGGCCACACAAAGTGGATGGAAGAGTTGTGCAACCAAAGAGGGCTGTCTCAAGAGAAGATTCTCAAAGACCTGGTGCCCACTTAATTGTGAAAAAGATTTTTGTTGGTGGCATTAAAGAAGACTCCGAAGAACATCATCTAAGAGATTACTTCAAACAGTATGGGAAAATTGAAGCGGTTGAAATCATGACTGACCGAGACAGTGGCAAAAAGAGAGGCTTTGCTTTTGTAACATTTGATGACCATGATTCTGTAGAGAAGATTGTCATTCAAAAATCCCATACCATTGGGGCGCCTGGGTGGCTCAGTCGTTAAGCGTCTGCCTTCGGCTCAGGTCATGATCCCAAGATCCTGGGATCGAGCCCCACATTGGGCTCCCTGCTCTGAGGGAAGCCTGCTTCTCCCTCCCCCACTCCCCCTGCTTGTGTTCCCTCTCTCGCTGTGTCTCTGTCAAATAAATAAAAAAAAAAAAATCTTAAAAAAAAAAAAATCCCATACCGTGAATGTCCACAACTGTGAAGTAAGGAAAGCCTAAGCAAGAGATGGCTGGAAACTTTGGTGGTGGTTGTGGAGGTGGTTTTGATGGGAATGACAACTTTGGTCATGAGGAAACCGGTGAGGTGGCTTTGGTGGTGGTGGTGGATATGGTGGCGGTGAGGGTGGCTATCTTGGATTGATAATGATGGAAGCAATTTTGGAGGAGGCAGAAGCTCTCATGATTTGGATGACTACAACAATCAATCTTCAAATTTTGGACCCATGAAAGGAGGAAATTTTGGAGGCTGATGCTCTGGCCCCTTGGTGGTGGAGGCCAGTACTTCACCAAACCACAAAACCAAGGTGGCTGTGGCAGTTCCAGCAGCAGCAGTAGTGATGGTGGTGGTAGAAGGTTTTCATTGCTGCCAGGAAACAAGGCTTAGCAGGAGAGGAGAGCCAGAGAAGTGACAGGGAAGCTACAGGTTACAACAGATTTGTTACCTCAGCCAAGCACAGTGGTGGCAGGGCTGAGCTGCTACAAAGGAGACATGTTTTAGACAATACTCACATGCATGGGCAAAAAACTCGAGGACTGGATTTGTGACTAATTGTATAACAGGTTATTTTAGTTTCTGTTCTGTGGAAAGTGTAAAGCATTCCAACAAGGGGTTTTAATGTAGACTTTTTTCTTTTTTTGTACCCATGCTGTTGATTGCTAAAGTAATAGCCTGATCTTGATACTGAATAAATGTGTTTTTTTTAAATGGTATCAACATTTTGTCAAATTTCAGAAAATAATTTTCCTTCCCATTTTCCAATTTACCCTTTATTTTATTCATTTTACTTTGTTTTAAAAATTGTAGTTTGAAATTTCCATTTGTGATTTATTACATTGCTTTGAAGTTTAGAAAGTCCCTCCTAAAAGTAATCAGAGAAAAACTAACCTATATTCCGCCCCCCATATTTTTATGGCTTAATTTGTTAAACTTCCCAGAATTCATTTTGGTGTATTATGAGATGATACACTTTTTTTTTTTCAAAATAGGCCCGTGATTTATTGATTGGATAGTCATTGCCTTTAGCGTTACGTTGTGATGACCTAAGCTCTATTATTAATCAAAATATTTTTACAGTTGATTCTCTTGGATTTTCTAGTTATAAAATTATCTCATAAATAATGGACATTGTTTCCTTTGACATCATATCATAGTATCTAATTCTGCCGTAGTATGAAAATACTAAATCTTTGCATGTGTTTGCACAATACCTCGCTCTGAACCCTGCTTTGGTCTTTTGCTCCAGGAGCAGTATATTTTTATCCACCAGTGTGTGCAACTGATGTGGATGAAGAAGAAGCAGCAGTTCTGCATCAGCGATGTCATCTATGAAAATGTTAGCAAGTCCTAGTTCAGAATCCAGAGCAGTAAGTAGACGAGGCCATCGTGGGCACTCTGTCTTCGAACCATGGAAGGGGACGTGATGGGATACAACAGAAGGCAGCAGTCACCTGTTGTATTGATTCTGACCCCCCAAATGTGGTTATAGGGAGAGAGTAATACCATACAGATCTTAGAGCTCCAGTGCACCTTGGTCAGGGGATGACAGGCAGGAGCTTCGGCAACTCCTTATGATTTGACCTTCCTTCCCTGCATCCAGAACTTTCAGTTGTTCTAATATTGGATCTGTGCCTGAGATATCAGGATGCTACCCTTCCACTCTGTTTATCTCAATATTTTGTGCTAATATTTTATGGATTACAAGGGTCATACAAGGGGTTACAAAGGAGATATGAGCTGGAGTACACATCCCAAAGAAGAGAAACAATATTAACACCAGTCTCGGGATGGTGGAGTCGAGGAATGCCTTGCTTCCGTCCCTTATGTGAACACTTACTTGAGAGCTTCTTGAAAACATTAGTAACATATTCAATGCCTTGTGCTCAACTTTGGCTACGAGATCGATTTTGGAGGTGTTATACTCTTAGCTGAAGTAATAATATGCCAATTCAAGTCAGTAAACAGTGAAATGTATCGGAGTATAGTGAGGTGGGGGGACCATTCGCAGGGTTGGGAGAGGACAGGGGGGCATTGTGGGATTCATATGGAAGGACAAAGAGCATATGGATAAGTGGGTAGCAGGATAGGATTAGTATTCTACCTTTATATCTATCAAAACATAGAAAGCCCAAGGAGGCAGGAAGGGTAAAGACTAAGAAACAAATTTGCCAAAAAGGGGAAGATATTTAGACCCACAAAAGGGACTTAAAGGGAAAAGGGTGCACAGATAAGCCTGTGTCCACATGGGCGATGGGGTTGAGTGTAAAGAGAGCAAGTAGTGGAATCGGGAGGAAGATGCTCTACTTCTAGACCCAGACCTGTCAGTGTGTGCCTCGTCCCTGCCAAGCTGCTTACTGTCTCCCTCTCTCTCTCTCTCTCTCTCTCTTTCATCCACAGGACAGGACATGCCTCCCTTGCTTCCAGAGTTTTTTAGGGGCCCTGCTGGCCATTTTGCTAAGAAGAGCCCCTGCTTTGTAGTCTGTGGCCAAGGAGACAATCTATCTCACTGAAGCACCGGGAAGACTTAGCCTTAAAGAGCCTACAGTGTCTTTTGGACTCCTTCACTTCTGGACATTTAATAACGGACCAAATTCAACTGAACACCACAAAGGTCCAGACGCTCTGCAAAGGGCAGGAAGCACAGCACTTCCGAAGAGTTTCCTTGGCCCTTGGCTGGTTGGGCTGAGTTTTTTGTTGTTGTTTTTAAGTGCAATAATTTTTGTATGTGTGATTTTATCAGGAAGTTGAATTGTTTTCTACCCACACGACCGACCAAGCCCATAGCCCAAGGGGGAACAGGAATGGTTAGTATCAAATTATACCTCATTGTTAAAAAGTGGCCTGGCCACACATGAGGAAATGTCAATTCCACTTCAAGGAAATTGAACCAGCGATATCAGTCCTCCAACATTAAGCTGCTGGATCAGGAGCGGGGTGGGGGGAGGAGGTGGGGAAGAGAGAAGGCTTCTACCCACAGACCGACTGCATATCTTTTCCAAATAGGAAAAGCTGTAATGCAGCTGCAAAGTAGAGTAGAAAAAATATTTAAGTCTTAATTGTTCTAGTTCTTGATGGTTTTCTTCCTTATTAACAGTTAAGTGTTGTTTTTTCCTGGGCCCTCTTGAACTAATGTCACTGTCCAGATTCTTTTTTCACCAAACCAGATCTGGTTCAGAACAGTTTGAAGAAGGACTCTTAAGACTCCATTGCTGTCTGAGCAACCTTGGTGCCTAGACTTTGCATTCCTTTTTCTGTGGACCTGCATACATGTGAAAGCTATTTCTTTGAGAACTATATAGGCTGTGAAAAACGCACTTTCTTGCCCCCAAAGAGCTGGGGATTTATGAAGTTATGGCAACGAACTGCAGCATGCTAGGATGATTATTTGGCTATTGTCAAGCGTCTCTATGGATTCCAACGGAGGTTTCTTTTGGTTTTGTTTTCTTTCGGGTTGTCAGTTTCATTTTAACCAGTGTAACTAGTAACATTTTCTTCGGATTTTGTATAATTACAGTACATGATTGTGTATTGTGACCTACATGCTGTCAAGATGGACGCTGACAGCATCGTGAAGCCTGTTACTTTGTGTCACTTCCTTAACAAAAATAAGAGGTGATGGTATGGAGATACAAAGGAAAACATTTGGAGCTGAGAGTAAACACAAGCTGACTGCTTCACTGTGGCAATGTGGCTGTCCTGCCTTCCCGTGTGTGCTTCCGCAGGCTTTGCTCTTCTCTGTGTATCTGATCATTAACCCCTGGCCCTGGCTTCCCTTCACTCCTGATCATATTCACGAAGCCATGTACCTAGGAGCAGCTTAATAATTTATCAGTGACCTTAGTGGTGGCGAAGGATGCCAAGCAAACAGCTCCGCACCCTGCCGTCTCCTGCCACTGAGAAGGCTTGGCCACAGCGGACCTTGGCACGGGTCTTTGCAAGAGCTGGTCAGTGAGTCTCAGGTTCACCTTGCAGGGGGAATGGCAGAGGACACCCAGACCCCGTGGCTTAACAGCTTGGGCTCCTCAGGTGTTGTGAGTTCTCCCTCGCCTCCCTTCCTCCCCTTCTCGCCTCCCTGCTGCCACCCCCTCTTCTCACCCCTGCCTGTTTCATTTCCCTTCTTGGACATGTTCATAAGGTATCGCTCCATTCTCAGGAACACACGGGGCTAAAGAAAGGTGGCAAAGGGATGTGTGACATTCTTAGATTTCCACACAAGGACAGGTCAGGAGGGACACGGGCAACCTTGGAGGGGGCCAATAAGATGGAGCGGGTAAGCTGGAATTCGTTTTGGCTCCACAGACCGGACTATTACTTCCCCTGAAACTTAAAGCACTTCGTAAATATTTCATGTTTTTTTCTTGAGCACCCCCTTCACTGTCGGGATCAAATGGTACCAGATCAGTTTTCCCAAAAGAGAAGATAAAGTATCCAGCGTTTGGACTGAAGACTCCGAACTGAGACCACAGAAAGTTCCCACGAAAGCACTTTACCAGATCCTTCCTTCAGGGGTCTCCAGAGCAGTCACTTTGTTCACTGGGACACGGGTGCTCCTGAGGCTGTAGAATTTATAGTGAGGAAAGCATCCGTCAGAAGGCTTGGATTTTCATCCCAATAGATGCCTTTGGGACTTCTCTCTCCCAAGTCGCCGCTCACAAGCTGTAGAATGTCTTACCATAGCTCCAGATTTTTCAGATATAAAGAGTATCAGTATGACAATTCACCCAAAGGCGATTTGCATCTTGTCCTCTCATGTACCCTAAAACCACTTTAACCAGCTTCACTTCCACTCCAGGACTCAATATGAGCATTCAGAGGGGAGGTTGCCAGGGCCTCTGTATTATTAATAAGGTTATTGTTGTTGTCGTTGCTGTTTTAATCATCTGAGTGGTGCTACAATGTTCTGAACTCAGAGGTGCTGGCACATACAGGTCAAAATAGCCTACATGGTGCATGGAAAGAGAGGAAGACTTTGGAATCACAAAGTATTTAACTTTCAGTGTGTGGAGATCAAATTTCTTCACTGCAAAAGTCAATTTCTAAAGTTACCATGAGGGCCTAATTTATAAATTTAATATTTAATACCAATATATCCCTCACTACACATTATATGATGTTATTTAACTTGAAAAGGAAAAAAAAGTGATGAATGACAACATTTTTTTGGACAGCATTTTTAATTCAAGGCTTATCATTTTCCACTACAAAGTCAACATGACCCCTCAAATTGAGAGAAGTTAGTAAGATTATTTTAATCTCTCATAAAATCTTTAATCAGAATTTCTAATGTCTCTCCTTTTCTAAAAGCTTCCCCTCCCATACCCCCCAACCTGCCCCAAAAGGCAATACATCTCTCAAAGAAGGCTGTGGTGTCAACACAGAAGGCAGGGGCTGGAGACGTTGGATCTGAATTTTTTTACAGACCATATGATAGCTATTGCCTGGAGGATTGGCCCTTAGCCAAGGGATTAAAGAAACTGAATCCAATCTCTAAGAGCCAAAATCCTCCCCGCTTTCTAGCAAGGAGGCCTTCCTTTCCACCTCAGGAAACGTCTGATATAATGTGCTTCAAATGAGCTGGCTCGCTTCCTGGCTCACAGCTTTCTAGCCGGGTACTTGGCACAGGCTCCAAGTCCAGAGGCCATGCCCAGGACTAAATATAACATCTCCTTTGGCCAAAGGGGTTATAAAGCAACAAAAACAGAACACATGCAGATTTCTACCCCTAGTTTTTCACAGCCCCATTTGGATGCATTTGGAAGAAAAAAAAAAACAAAAAACATGAGCTATGATATCTCTGACACCTGGTCCTTCAGAACAGCAAGAGTTTTGTGTTCGGTTTCAGCCAGTGCTTACGGCCAGGCCTGATCCTGGTGGGTTCACTCGATGAAAGATGGAGTGTGATGTGTAGCTCTGGGAGTTGTATCACGAGGGATATTAAGAAACTGAAAGCCGTTCAGGGCAGAGTCACCAGAACCGTTAGGGATGTGGAAAACAGCAGGTCAAAGTTTCCAAGAACTTGAGAGAAGTGGGGCCCTTAAGCCCAGAGTAGAGTTAGCGTCCTTTGTTTATTCAATCATTAATTCAACAAATGTTTGTTGACCGAATCCTGTTGAACAAATCAATCCATTGACCAGTGAAAGATTTCTTGATGACTTGCGATATGCTAGGCGCTGTGAGAAGCACAAGTGGTGCCATATGGTCACTTTTAAAAATGTGCCATGAAATCCGGTTGTTGTTGGAAGGAACAAGAAAACAGTAGTCAAGTCTTTTTCACTATGTTTCACTTACATATCTCAAAACATTGTCAGTATATTTTCGACAGTGCCTACCAGTCAAGAGAATGGTGTTAGGCTTTTTTCCCTATGGCTTGTAGAACAGCGAACTAGCTTCTCATTGTTCTTGTTGCTCATCCGTCACTACGCTGACATGGTCCTGTTCCTTGAGGAGAATCACCCAGCTAGCCTCCTCTCCTCCTCCAAAGAGGACTCTCCTCAACCATATAGATCCCTGGTGGATGGTGAGTTCTTTTCTACTGAGCCCTTCTGGCATGCCCTCACCAGGCAGTCCATCCCTTCATTTGTCAGAAAGCATTTCCTTCTTCTGTTTACACGTATAACCACCTTATTGCTAACATTAAGAATGTCTGAGTCCATACCTCTCGTGGATATAGGCTTGAAGCCCAAATCGTGTCCCCATTTTGGTAAAAGGGCAGGCGCTATGTGTGCTAGCGCCCAGAGCTGCTTTGAACACAGGTCTAATTTCAAACCATTCCATTTGAGAAACAGTCCACTCCTAACCCTCTCAAAAAATCATTTATTTACTCAGCATCCCCTATGAGGCTCAGGGCCTACGAGGATGGATGAGACAAGGTTCCTGCTTCGAGGAATTTCTATTCTATTAGGGGAAGTTAGAAGTGAAACTAAAGGCAACGGAGTGTTACACGCACTGTGATAGAAAAACATAAAGCATCCAATGCGGGCCCAAGAGCGGGGCAGGTGATTTTTTTTTTTTCTAGAAGGGTCAAAAAAGACTACCCTGCCATATGAAAGTGTTAAAGACCGCAGAGCCATATTAAGAAATACTAATGATGTACACTCATTCCTGCACTCAGCAAGCATTCAGAAAACCCACTGTATCAGTCACCAGAGCCCATATGGGCAACTTAACCTCCAATCCTGCCTTCTGAAACTTTTCTTTCTAGATGACTCCAAAGTGACAATCTCTTTCCAAGCCTCCACAGACAGCTCTAGCTCATGTGTTATTCTGCAAAATACAGTGAATTTACTATTACTGCCGATGTAACAGAGCACATCAAGCCCACATTTGCCAGCTACTTACAGTCCGTGCTGTGCAAGGAAGATAGGCAGAAACGGTTAACTCTACTCCCTGGACTGTGATGCTGAAAATCACCCAGGAGCAAACTTCCATCTCTGCCTGTTGGTCTGTCTGTCTCTCTCTGTCCCTCCCTTCCTCCCTCCAGATTGAGATGGTGGCGCCAAAAAGACAGAAGGAGGCTGGGGCCCTGAATCACTACCTGGAGCAGGAATACCTGCCCACAGGCCCATGATGTGACCAAGTAACACATTTCCATTGTGTTCTCACAGTGATTCTGGTATCGTCAGCCCGGGCAGTCAAGCTGCTCTGAACTAATATGGCAGCACAAGGATACATTTTACGACCGTGGGTGGCCTCCATTACCATGGGCATTTTCCAGGGCAATGGTGTGTACTTCCTAATAAAATTCCCAGGGCGCCTGGGTGGCTCAGATGGTTAAGCGTCTGCCTTCGGCTCAGGTCATGGTCCCGGGGTCCTGGGATCGAGTCCCGCGTCGGGCTCCCTGCTCCTTGGGAGCCTGCTTCTCCCTCTGCTTCTCTCTCTCTCTCTCCCTCTGTCTCTCATGAATAAATGAATAAAATCTTTAAAAAATAAAAAAAATAAAAATAAATAAAATAAAATTCCCAGAAGGCAGGTGAGAAATGAAACAGAGCAGAGCAAGGTTACCCCACAATGCAAACAAGTGCTCAGGCAGAGGCCACAGGAGCAATGATGGTTCTTTTAATAAAGTCTTCTATGGAAATATATGCATTCTTCTCCAGAAGTGGCTTTCCCCTGCATTAGATCTCTCCTTCTCTTTGTCATCCCTTTTTAAACCCTATCATAAGAAGACCATTACTTAGGAAACCCACTTGAATTCTTTAGCCTTATGTAAGGCTATTGGCTCTGAATCAAAGTCCTGGATTCCTATTAACAATAGGTCCCACTGTGGTTTCACATCAATAAAAGCCCAAACGTACAGGAGGCCATGAGGCTTGGCGTGTGCAGTGATGCTCAGGAAAACTAGGAAAAGTTCACTGGAACCACTACTGCCTTTACAGATATAAAACAGAATGGTCTTGGAAGGGTTCCTTTATGTCCCAAACCAAACTAGATTACATCCTCCCGTAACCCGTGAGTGAGCTTGGGACACAGGCCAGCCAAGGGTCCAGCAGCATAGCAGAAGGGAGCTGCTTAGAACAAGAGACAATGGACAGGGAGAGACTTGAGCTGAAACTCTGCCCATCTGTGACTCAGTTGTCTCATCTGTGAAATGGACATGGTGATGGTGGCTTTATGGTAGCACAGGGCTTCAAGAAGATGCCATAACATGTGGTGGGGCTGAAAACAATACGTGGAA